ACATCCATCATCATGCATGTTGCTGTCTGCTCAGTGCTCAAAGCTGGTGGGCGAACAAAGCTGCCAGACAGACATCGGGTGATCGTAGGACTGTAGAGCAAATCGGTTGCCATGGCTCTCTCTTTGCGATTCCTGTCTCAGGCCTCCAAGAACATCGTGGCTCATGCGCCATCCCCGAGGGCTGCGTGCACGCCCATCACGCCGAAGACCCCAAAGACACCGAAATCACCCCAGTCGCCTTTGAGTCCTCTGAGCACGGCTTGCACTGGGTTGAGCTTCTTCCCAGTAGAAGAGGCCAAGCGAGCTCCCAAGACTGCTCGTCGGTCTGTGCATTTCGCCGACGAGAGCGGAGCTTGGGTCGGCAATGCGAGCAGCTTGCTCAGTGCCAAAGGCCTCGGCCTCTTAGGAAAATTCCAGCCTGATGCCCGTGCCCAAGCTACGCTGGACCACAGCGTCCAGGAGGAGGATCCCATGGCTCTGGCTGCGGCCACACGCGCCGCGGTGTTGGCGCGTAAGGCGCGACAGGAAGATCGCTGCGTGCCAACTCCGCGTGTTGCGCTGGAGCCGACCTTCCCGGTCCTGCTTGGTAGGCGTCCTTCTGTGGGCTTGCCCATGAAATCGCCTTTGAGCTTCCTCAACGAAGAGTCCTGTGCGCAAGCAGCACGCCAAGCTTTCTTGGAGCAGCAGGAGCGCAGGGCCAGCAGAGCCATGGTGGACTTCGTGGTGTAGGCGAGGTGAGCAATCAGTGCCCAGAGCAGCTTCTGCCCAGAGGTAGCCAGGACTGCTACTTTTAAACTGAACATGTTCTCAAAGGCTGGTGTGCTCCGTGAGGCGATTGTACAGACTTCTCAAAAGCAAGAGTGAGCCTCGAGAGCCATCAGCACAGAACACAGAACTCAGAAGTAGGTCTCATGAGGGTCAAGGTCTGCGGAGAGCAAGTCACGGCACTGAATCGACTTCATGTATGTTTGGTCGTCGGTACTTGTAGCCGCTAGCTGAGCTTCTACAAGCCTCTGCAGTCCCTGAGCTGAACTCTTAGTCAGCTGCCTAGAGCTGAAGACCGGAGCTGGGGCGCAGAGTCGCTTCCAGCTCGTGGCTTCGGCACCACTTTACATCTTGTTCGACGATCTGCACTGAAGATGCTGTCTACAGATGTTGCAAAGCTGGGCGTCCGGGGTGCCTGCTTTTGGGTAGGCCCTAAGGGAGCCAGTCTGCAAGTTCCAAGTGGCAGTACCGGTCACGGAGCTCAGGGACCGGCAGGGGGCTCGCCAGAGAGTTCAGTCCTGTGGTGCATCAGACCTCCCCAACACGTAGGAGACAGGCCCTGCCGATGCGTGTGGCTCAATGGATGAAAGTTTGTTTGGGACAGAACAGCTTGCAGCACAGTCTTCAAACCTGAGTTATTGTGGACTTGTCGGTTCCTATACAGCTGTGAAAACCCCACGCAAAGTCGGCATTCTGCCGCCACAGTACACTCGGCAGACCTTTCGTTTGGGCCGGATGTGTGCGGCATGCCGGAAACGAGGGCATATGCTCTCCTGGAGGAAGGAAGGCCCGTCTACTTTCGACAGAACGTGATTGGCTTCTAAGCTTCTTCAGTCACGGCAGGAGCCCAGTGGCAGGCTGTAACTAAGGCATGAATCTTGTGTGTTTTTGCTTCACCAGCTCTGGTCGAAGCGTTTGCAATCCAAACGCCCAGCGCCAAGTATTCCAGTTTGCACAGATAAAGCTTCTAACCGAGTGGGGTGAGTTGTAGTTTGTCGGCTTATCAGCCAGGCGGACTATCGAGGAGTCCCAAGCCGCCCCACGTGGCTGGCATGATCGGTCGGGGCCTGTTGAAAGTTCACCTGCGTTGCAGAGGGTTGATGCTGTTACGTCCATGCCGCACTCATGCGGGAAGGAAGCAGCCCCCACACCCCGCGCCACGCATGCACAGGCTTGCAGCCCCTTCAAAGGGGGTTGCTTGCCCGAGTTGGGTGCGATCAAACGAACATACTGATGTTTGCATTGACAGCACCGGGACGAAAGAAACTGGCAGCACGAGTTCCAGGGATTCGTGTTGAAGGCAATACTCACAGGCCCAGCGTGCTTTTGGGAGATGGTGCTTTGCATCCCGAAGCGCAGTGGCACCACGTACTAGCCGCTAGCTGGCATGGGCCCCGCCGCTTGTTCCACATTTGCCCTCGCGTGGAGTGGGTGGATCTTCAGCAGCTGTGTCTATCCCTTCCAGTGGAACTGCCGATGTGAGGGATGCATGAGTTGGGTGGGAGCTGGGGAGGCAGGGGGAGCACAGCAAGCCGCTCTACTTCTGCTATGGCAGAGTGGTTGCAGGCCCAGGAGACATGTTAGTGAGTGCCTCAGGAAGTGGCCTGACGGTGAAGTCCCGGAGAAGATAAGGAAGCAAGGGGCCGAGCTTGTCGAGCCACATGCACTGCTTTTGCTCTTGGCTGCGTTGGCACGGCGGGCGTCTTGATCTATGAGCAGCCTGAGCATGCTCGGATGTATACAAACCACGGTACATGTAGTTTAATAGGGAGGTTCCTCGGGTGTGGTTTATCCTGTGCACCGACGAGTGGTACAAAACCATAGTAGTCGTGGTAGGGTAATAATGGTCGTGGTAGTGGCAGTGGTAGTGTTAGTGGTAGTGGTAACAGTCGTAGAAGCAAAAGCAGAAGCAGTAGCCGCAGTAGCAGTAGCGGTGCAGTAGCAGTAGCAGTAGGAGTAGTGAGTAGTAGTAGGGGTAGCAGTAGCAGTAGCAGTAGCAGTAGCAGTAGTAGCAGTAGTAGCAGTAGTAGCAGTAGTAGCAGTAGTAGTAGGTGGTGGTAGTGGTGGTAGTAGTAGTAGTAGTAGTAGTAGGAACAGCAGCAGCAGCAGCGGCAGCNNCCCAAAACCCTAAGCCCTAAACCGCCCATGTGAATCATGTGGGTGTCGTTTTGTTTGGGGTGGGCGAGTCTGCAGTGGTTTCGGGGTTTCGTGTTTAGGAGTTCAGGATCTAAGGATTCAGAGAATTAAGAAATTAGGAGCAGGGGCATTCAGGGACTCGATGGGTCTAGGAGCGTGCGATGTAGGATTTGGTTGAAGGTTTCGGGTTTAGAAGCGTAGGGGTAAGGATTTAGGAAGGGGTTGGTTGATCTTGGAAGCTCCACAGCCCGAAAGCCCTAAACCCTAAGCCCCAAAGCCCTAAACCCTAAACCCTAAGCCCTAAACCTTAACGCAAGAGCCAAGATGTTTCACCCTGTCGCGGGCAACAAGAACCTTCCAAGGGCCTGCGCTTCCTAAGCTACTGAACCCTAGACCCTAAACCCAAAGCCTTGAACCCTAAGCCCTAAACCCTAAGCCCTAGACCCTAAACCAGAAAGGCCGCCTTTAAGGAGTGATTTGAAGCTTGATTTTCTATGATGCCTAGATCCTTAAGCCCTAAAGCTATAGAGCCCTGAACCTTACATCCTAAAGCCCCAAAGCCCCAAAGCCCAAAGCTAGAGAAACCCTAAACTTCAGGGCTTCGGGTTCAGGGTTTAGGGTCGAAAAACCCTGCGGAACCACGCCAAGGATGCGTCTGCATGACCTTCCCTTCAGAGAGGCGCCGGTGTGTCCATGACCTCCGAATAAGAGGCTTTGGTGTGTTTAAAAGTTGAGGGGTTGGAGGGGTCGTGGTCTGGGGTTCTGGTGATTTTTTCAAGATTTGGTGTTCAGGTTTTTGAGGGTTTTGGCTTATTTTTGGGTTTAGGGGACAGGGTTTTGGGGCTTGGCGTTTGGGGACACGGTTTTTCCCACCTAGGGTGCTTGTACCGCTTCGCAGTGATTCTAGCGCGGCGTTGTGAGATATCGATTATTTAGGACTTTTTGGGTTTGGGTTTGTCGGATGGCTTTGTTGTGGGTTTTGGGGATGTGCATGCTGGGCAATCAACAGGGAAAACTGTCCAAGTGACAGGAGCGCAATCCTCGGCCTCCGGCATACCTTCCTCGTCGACGACGACGGCTACAACAACGACCATGGCCTGCAAGACCTTCCAAAATCCCTCAAACAAGGAGTATGCCTTAAATCACAGTTGGGGGATCCTGCTATCACCCTAAACCCTAGACCCTAGACCCTAAACCCTATTTAAGGTACACTCCTGAGTTAAAGGATATTGGAAGGCCTGGGTTTGATCATCACCCTGGTAATTACCTCTTGAATGCGACGACCGTGGCGGGTGACGGCCACGAAAAGTGTTTAGGGCTTTAGGGTTTGGGGTTTTAGGGTTTAGGGTTTGGGGTTTGGGGTTTAGGGGTTTAGGGTTTAGGGCTTAGGGTTTAGGGGCTTAGGGCTTAGGGTATTACCACCCATCTGTCACTGTTGCCTTTTTGTACGAGTTCTTGTTTTGGCTGTTGGATTTGGTTTGCCCTCCTCTGACCGCAGCCCTTGATTCCTGCGACTCTGGCGCCAGGTGCAGCAGCTTCGCAATCCCCTCGCCGAGGATGGCAAGGTGACCCTGTCTCGCGATGGACAGGACTCCTTCCGGCGGCTTGATACAGAGGTCGGAATCGTCGACTCTGAAGAAGGCACCCTTTCAGCCTCTAGAGAACGACATCTCCAGGAAAAAGGGTGTTGGGTTTAGATGGGAGCAGAAGATTTCGCTTCACATCGTAAAGGAAAGAGCGAACCTGAGGTGTCTTCGCAATCGAACTTCTCTAGACGCCAAAAACCCTAAAAGCAACAGACATTTTGCAAGAGCCAAGTCCTGAACAAAGCCCCTATCAACCCAAAGCTCCGAGACCGCACTCTTCCTTCCCTAAACCCCACAGTGGCGGGAAGTCTGTGGAGGCTCGGTATGCTGGGGATGCTTATGCCGGTATACGGAGGAGGAAGGACAGGAGAGACTGAATCTGTACAGAAACATCGCTAGTTGCTGCATAGGAAGAGTACCTATAGTCTCCATTGTGGTTCCTTTTTGGGGCTGCCTTTTTTGGATCCCTAATATAGAATTGGTTAAACCAAAAAAAGGAACTACAATGGAGACTATAGGTATGCTTCAAAGGTGCTGAGTTCAAAACCTAGCCTGCCTGCCCCTGGGGGCTCTCCGCGGATTACTGTGGAAAAAAGGCCCTCAAAAAAAAACACACACACACACACAACCTAAACCATAAACCCTAAACCCCAAGCCCTAAACCCTAAACTCTACACCCTAAACCTAGACTCTAAACCCTAAACCTGAACCCTCAACCCTAAACCTAAACACTGAACCTTAAACTCTAAACCGTAAACTCTACACCCTGAACTCTCGCCCGGCCCTGCAGACCGCACTTCCCGCGCAGGAGCTGGCGAACGGCACGGGTCGGAAGCTGGGGCCTTGAGGGGTTTAGGGGTTTCGGGCTATAGGGGTTTAGGGGTGTAGTAGGGTTCCTTATTGTGGTTTCTTTATGGCTTTAGGGGATGTAGGGATTTTGGGTTTAGGGGTTTGGGGGTTGAGGGCTTTAGGGGATGTAGGGATTTTGGGTTTAGGGGTTTGGGGGCTGAGGGCTTTAGGAGATGTAGTGATTTTGGGTTTGGAATTTTGGGTTAGGGGTTTGGGGGTTTAAGGGTTATGCACAGTTGCTACCCATAAGCTCCTTAGTAGTTCCTTTTTGGGATTACCTTATAGGGTTCTGGAACTACTTAGGAGCCTATGGGTAGTAGCACCCCTCATAGTTCCCGTTAGGTCTACTCGGGTTCCCACATCAAGGTGTGCTTATTAATGTCAAAACCCAAA